TTATCTTTATTTAATTTTATTTTTTTCTCTTTGGACGCCTGTCATGCCCCTGCAATCAAGGAGCATCTGTGCGGTGTGCAGGAACCACCGGTGGGGGGGGGCGCGTAGAGTGAGGGAACGAGAGTGCAGGGGAAAGAGAGAGACGTGGCTTTCATCCACAGATAGCGGTTAGCAGTCTGCCCGCTTCTCCTCCACAGCTTGTCTGCCACACCCAGCACGGCCACGCTAATCCCGTAAGTGGCCCACTGACTCTTCCATTTATTTCAATTTCACAAAAAAAAGTATAAAAAAACAGGGTGGCATGTTCTGGGTGGGGGGGGGGAGGGGGGGGGCGCCATCATTAACACCCAGAAAAGCGGTGAGGATTCAGGAATTACAAGCTTTTCAAGTCCAATTCAAGCACTTCAAAGGCAAATTTTCAAATTCCACCGTGATTTCACTTCTCTCGCCGGCGCACCAGCCCCCATAAGCCTCCTCCAGCAAATGGGGTTATTACCAAAGGCCGAACAGATAAGAGAGATGAAAAATAAAGACTGGGGGAAAAAAAACAACAGGCCAAATTGATCAAAGTCAACTTCTGTTACAACTTGACAAATTGTGGATATGATTTCTCATTATTCAGGGGAGATTTTGCAGACATTTTTTCTTTTTTCTGCAGAAAGTTTTTGCACACTTACCGAATCCCGGAAAAGCGCGCTGATGTTCGGGGGGGTTGCAGTCGCAGGTGTGACCGGGGGCACGGTGCTGAATATTTATGGCCCATTATGATCAAACTGTGGCAAACAGCAGAATCTGATAGGAATGTAAATAATGAATCTGTCGTGGAAGTCCCGGTGCGTTCCCGGCGTTCCCGGCGTTCCAAGCAGCTTGGATTTTAATTTTTTTTTTTATTATTATTATTTCCTGTGCGTTTGTGCATTCAGAGAGCGCTGCCGCTAGGTGACTCATCCGGCCCAGATGTAGCCGGGCTCATTCATGAGTAATGAGACTATTCTGATGGCATGACCCCCCCCGCAGCCCCGCCAGATGGACCCGGAGCGTTCCCCCCCGCTCTCCCTGACCCGCCTCCTCTTTCCCCGGATGAAATCCGTACTCGCTGACAGGAAGCTGCTGTCGCAAATGACGCTCCGAAAATGTTATTCCCGCCCCCATAAAAGCCAGCAGGCGGCGAGGGAAGTAAACATGGCAGGAAATGCGCTTGAGCGCCGGACCTGATCGACGCGTGGAAAGCTGTGCCGTTCACAGTGATTGCAGGGGACGGCGTCGGGAAGGGCGGGCTCGTCTGAAAGCGGGATGGGTGGTGGGGGGGAAGCGGGTGGGGGGTAGGCAGTATGTGTGTGTGTCTGTGTCTGTGTGTGTGTGCGATCAGGACCAGGTCTGATTTCACTAACGCGTTGCTAGCAGATCGTTGAGAGTTCCAGATGCGGTTGGCAGGACATGAAACCTGGGGGTGTCAGATAGGGGTTGGGGAGGCCTAGGTACCCCTCCCCTCTAGCCAGTCTCTGGGTGACCTGAGCCCCCCAAAAACCCTTCCTAGGTGTCTCTGATCATGGTGGGCCCCGTCCCGCTCCAAGCGACTGACCTTCCATGCAGCCTGAGGCAACGGCACATCAAAGGGCTTTACCCTTGGGGGAGGGGGGGATTCCCCAAATGAAATACTTACCAAAATTATTCCAGTAAAATATCCTTTTCAGAGAGAGGACATTCAACAAAAATTCAGCAAATGAAGTCTGTTTCACACAACACAGTGCCGTGGTGCGGTAATCGTGTGTTTCCTGCTGAGCTGAGCATGTTGGACCTGCTTTCCGTCGCAAACGTCAGTGTCTGTGACGTTTCATCTGAATCGGGGACCATCAGCCGCCGTAGGTGTCCAGGCGACAGACCCCGACGGACACATCGATTTCTGCCTGCTCGGAGCCGTGCCAGCTGGCTGCTGTTGATTTATTTGTTTAGGGTCTGATGTGGGGGCAGGGAGGGGTCTACTCCTGACAGGACTTTGGCGTCACTTCGAAAATGCCCAGAACCGACATCACTTGTCTGTTTACGTCACACGGTGGTCCTGCCCATCTCAGTCTAGCTAGTGACAAAAATTTATGGCGGCTGGACAGATTTGATTTACTCAAAAACTGCGAATTAGTATTTGATTCATCATCCAACACCGAATAATTGTCACAGTTATCCCGCTGTTTCGCTGTTTACAGTCTGGCTATTAATTTTCATCGCATGATTCCAGCTGGTTTTTCATAGTGCCGAGCTGATTTGATCAGAATCACTTACACTCTCCAGTTATTACCAGTAATTGCACTTATCTAATAACGTGGCTGCTGGACCAAACAAAGATGCTTTAATTTGGCTAAAAGGATTCTGGGAAACACTGTTCTCAGCTAACGTTGTATTACAGGCCAACGTGTTACAGTTTCCGAAAGGCCGTCGTTTCGGGAAAACATTCTGTGGCGTGGGATTGCTTGTTTTTCACTACATTCCCCATGTAGATTTGTGTGACGAGTGTCCACAACCAACAAGCACGATAAAAAAGCTTTCGTAATGTTTGTAATACCGGTCCACCATGAATCCTCAAGAAAGGTGCCAGAACAATTGGATCATCATGTGAAATTTTAGCAGCAGTATTTGCTATTTTGAAATAACAAAATAGACACCTTACTGCCACTCAGGATAGATGCAGGTTTATTGATTCCAGATGTGCCTCTTTATCTGAGTGTGGGCGTCTGCTTTTCTGCCTTTAAAGGGATCATCTGAGGCTCCCAATGTGCCTCCAGCGAGATTCGCGCACTCGCCTGCGAGAGGCTTGCGGCTCTTGTTTTCCACACCTCTGTTCAATTTACTTTTCGTTTTCTCCACTGGAATCAGTCCATTTCTCTTCATCAGGTCCCATGTCAGCGACCCCCCCCCCCACCCCCAAGGAAGAGCCGCTCTCTCCCACAGAGCTCGTCCGACTTTCCCGAGGAGAGAATTCTCCCTGTGATTCCCCAGTGAGCGCCCCCTGGCAGCAGCAAAAGTGGCTGATGCAATGCGCCCATTATTTACGGTATCGGCACGCGTCCTCTGCCATCTTAAATGCAGTGGCAGGCTGATGATTCTCAGAGATAGAATGGTAAATTAAAGCAGGCCGGAATAACGAAGTCCCTTTGGGCCGGTGTTAATTTTCTAAGAGGAGGTCAGTCAGTTAACTTAAATTGAGTTGCTACGATTTCACAGGATTGTGCCTCTGATGCTCTGGGGGGTGGGGGGTGTCTGTTTGCTCAGCGGTGGGGTTTTTTAGCATCAAAAATGAAATTAAAGGATTAGCCGTCGTAGATTACATCGCAGCTTGAATATTCAAAACGAAATTCGAAATAGATTGATAAATAAATAGTGTCTCATATGTACCCCAGCTCTGTACAAAGTCGTTTTTGAAAAAAAAAAAAAATCAATCATCTGCCAACCAGAAACAAACAAGCTCCTCTGACAACGGTTTCTGTTCAGGTAAATAATTAAGAAGCATTACTGAGGATGGGGGTAATTTGTCAAGCCATGCGGCCAGTCCAGGCTGCTGCTGCGTTGTGGGAAGGTGGCGCTTCTCTGAGCTGAGCTGACCTGGGCGTCTTCTACGAGGCGATGGCCTGATGAATAAAATATGAGTGAATCCTTTCCTTTTCGCTCAGAAGCCAAGGGCGGAACATAAATGCCATTACTGCCGTGGACAATGCGATGTGGGCCCCTCCTTTGCCGAAACATTGGCCAGGCAGGTGACAAAGTCCAGCGAAGGTGACCATCTTCCCGCCAGTGTTGTCTGACTGTTTTACTCGCATTAGTGGACCTCGGCAGTTTGAGTCAAGATTCGAGATCTGTATTGGCCATGTGCAAAAGTTGCATCAGAATGCTCGCTCGTTATACAGCCATAGTTGGTTACAAATAGAATGAAGCCAGTGCAAAACAATACAGGCAGTGCTAAATAAAACAGGCAGACAGGCAGTGCAAACCAATACAGGCAGTGCTAAATAAAACAGGCAGACAGGCAGTGCAAACCAATACAGGCAGTGCTAAATAAAACAGGCAGACAGGCAGTGCTAAACAATACAGGTGGTGCAAAACAATACAGGCAGTGCTAAATAAAACAGGCAGACAGGCAGTGCTAAACAATACAAGATAGAGCAAAATAGTACAGCTAATGTCCAAACCAG